AGATAGAAGACTGAAGGGAAGGACGGAGGTTAGATAGAAGACTGAAGGGAAGGACGGAGGTTAGATAGAAGACTGAAGGGAAGGACGGAGGTTAGATAGAAGACTGAAGGGAAGGACGGAGGTTAGATAGAAGACTGAAGGGAAGGACGGAGGTCAGACAGAAGACTGAAGAGAAGGCTGGAGGTCAGATAGAAGACTGAAGAGAAGGCTGGAGGTCAGATAGAAGACTGAAGAGAAGGCTGGAGGTCAGATAGAAGACTGAAGAGAAGGCTGGAGGTCAGATTTTGAAGATAAATTCTAGTAATTTATTTGTAATTTTAGTTTTGTATAGATTAGGAAGTTTAGAACTTCTGTTAGGGTTGTATTGCTGTCTGAAAATATCTCTTCACTTCCTGTCCTGGTTATGGGTGCCTCCAGTACAGGAAGTGAGATAAAATCTCCCCTATGGGGAACATGGCCAACAATAGAAGCATAACAGAGGTTCTCCCCTTCCCTACTCCAACCAAATGTAAAACAAATATAAATAATCTTAACAATGTGTGTATATATTTTATCTCCTCCCCACCAGCCATACACATACATGTGTCGGCACGGCAATGGGGTCTTACACCGAGCTGCACACATATATCCGCACAGCCAGTGTGGCTGCAGGGAGCGCATTCACTCGGCACCCCTAACACAGTAACCATGCTGTCACAGTCAGCTACTGGTCACTGTTTACGGAGGAGGTGGAGGCTACTGATCACTGTTACAGCCAATCACAGTGATCACATGACTAGGAAGCCCATTTTATATTTTATTACAAATATATTTTATTATAAATATTTAAAGGATCAGCTCCTGCCGGCAGGAAGAGGTTACATAGCTGTTCATGGTTTGTAATGTTTATAAGCAAGTATGTGCATGGGGGCACTCTCATTTGGCTGTAATTTCCCACTGATACTAGGGGACTTCAGTTGCAATCAGATTGCACAAGCATTGTGGTCAAGTCCTTGCTAGTTTTTGTTTATTTACCTTTTGCATGCAACTCTTTACCTACTACTACACGATCTCCGTTCTCAGCGCTATGGCAACTAGTAGCTACAGGACGCCGGAGCTTTGGCGTAAAGAGAGGCTTGGTTACCAGCAGTGTTTACACAGGAGAGAGGGTTGTTCTGCATTCAGCAAATGTGAGAGATGCATCTATTGCAGCACCACAGATGAGCAGGCTGACTGGGCTCTCCTGGTTCCCAATGTCCCCAGTTTGGATGCAAATAACAGTAGGGACACCGGACGGTGCAGAGGGGCTGGAATAGTGGAGATGGGCAGTTCTGAGCAGGGAGATTATGGCTAGATCCAAAATAATGCTCTCCCTACCTCAGGAACTGTAATCACGTCATCAATAGAAAAAGGGGCATTGATGGGACCGGTATAACAACTCATACAGAGCTGGCTGGGGTGACTGGTCATGCATACAGGAAGTTGCCCACAAATGGGACTGATGAGCCTTCCTTCCCTTCCTAGGTGAGTTAGGACCTGCAGTTAAAGATAAATTGTTTCGCTTTAGTCTTTTAGGATTCATGACCCTCTTTTTTTTTGCCTCCTTTAGGACTTGAGAGAAAGCCTGGCAATAATGCTAATGAATGAGTCTTGGGAGAGAAGACAATGAGCATTCTTGGTTGCACCAAGTCCGGGTTTATGTTATGTATTGGCATCTGCCTCGTCCTGGTGGCCTTAAACAACATCAGCCAACCGGAAGAAAGGACATCCATTTTGTCGGAGATTAAGGAATGCGGCTATTACCCCGGAGAGCTGTGCAAAGCTTTGTTTGAAGGAAAGTCAGCTGCCCTAGTGGTGGCAAATGTATGCCAAGAGGCTCTGACACCATCCAAAAAGCCGGCCCCGAACATTCTAGAACCCAAGACCAATTGTTCCACCCTAATAAAGGAATTACACTTAATAACCAAACCTCTGTCTGAGGAGGAAGCCGGCTACCCCTTGGCGTTCATAATGACCATACACAAAAACCTGGAGATGTTCCTGAAACTGCTCACTGCCATCTACGCCCCGCAGAACATCTACTGCATCCACATTGACCAAAAGTCGCCCAACGCTTTCAGCCAAGCGGTACAGAGAGTGGCGCACTGCCTGCCAAACATTTTTATCTCTGCAAAACAAGAGACGGTGGTCTACGCTGGGATCTCGCGCCTGCAAGCGGATCTAAACTGCATGGAGGACTTGGTGCGTTCCGACGCTCCGTGGAGTCACGTGATCAATCTCTGTGGCCAGGATTTCCCCATTAGAACAAATAGGGAGATCATACGTTATTTAAAAAGCAAATGGAACCGCAAGAACCTGACGCCCGGGGTGATTCAACCCGATCATATGAAGTACCGAACTCAAGTGAGTTATAAAGAATTTGTACACAAGGGGACGTCCTATGTTTATCCAACCAAAGAGGAGAAAGGGGGTCCGCCTTATAACATCACCCTGTATTTTGGGACGGCGTACTACGCCCTCACCAGGGACTTTGTGCAATTCGTGCTGACCGACGAACAGGCAAAAGATCTTCTCGAATGGTCAAAGGACACATACAGTCCGGACGAGCACTACTGGGTAACGCTCAACAGGATTCAAGGTAAGAGACACTTTGTACGATAAGGTGACCGCGACACCCAATTTTACCTCACATTGAGTGTCGTTCTCATGTCAGGAGTGAACATGGAATATATAGGATCCCTGGCAGATTGCTGGAAAACCCAAAACAATTGGCTTCATGACATCTTATCTTAAAGGTGCTCATTGCTAATGCTAACCTCTCTGTGACTCACTCTCAAGAAGGCAATGGTCATATGTCCTCTAATGAAGGATTATGTGGCAATGATGTTCAGGTTGGGCTAGTTGGTCAGCAATTCTGTCTTACCAGGCTTCTACTCTTTCAAGATCCTCTTCACTTCTTTACATGTCCGAAAAGAAGACAATTTGGGGCACTTCCTAGAGGGAATGTTTATTTATATAAAATGTGATTGTATATTAGCTGTGAATGTAGTAAGCCATTACATCTTTCAGGTGCCCCAGGATCCACCCCTGAGGCAGGATGGGAAGGAAATATCCGAGCCATTAAATGGAGGGACCAAGAGGGGAAAAGTCACTCTGGATGTAATGGTAATATTCTTACAGATTCATTCCTAATGTATTCAGACACAGATAGGAGGTACTGCATGGTTCCCAAGAAGGCTGCTGCAAGGTCCCAAGCAATAGCAGGACCTAAGACAGCCACTTAATTTGCATAAATTAAAGCGCCAGTATTGGTTTTGGGTATCGGAGCATTTGCATGAGTACAAGCTCATATTGGCACCGATATTGGTATCGGTGCATCACTAGTTGTGTGAATTATAATTTTTCTCATTAGACTGCTTGATATAATACTGGAAGGGAACACTACATACAGTATTTACAACGCTTCCGCCGGCCTTCACATCTCCCCCTCCAGAGACCCTGCGCACATCTCCCCCTCCAGAGACCCTGCGCACATCTCCACCTCCAGAGACCCTCCGCATATGTCCCCCTCCAGAGACCCTGCGCACATCTCCCCCTCCAGAGACCCGCATTGCTGTATAAAGTATGCTGAGATTTGTAGTCCCTCTGCAGCTTGGAGTCACAACAGGGTTACAGCAATCGCAGCTACGACTGAGGCCTGGTGCTCCACTACTATGAAACAAAAAAAACGACTTGAGGAAAAGTATCGGTACTCATACTCGGTCTGGAAAAAATGTAAATCGCTGCTTTCCTATTTCCAACCAGTGTGAACAGCGAGGGAGGACCAGTACAGCACATAAAACAACAAATTAATGCAGCTCTGCATTCATTATTACAACATTCAATGTATATTAAGAATGCAAGCAGTGTAGGTAACTTAGCATCACCCCTTGCAGTCCCTTATACAACAGGGCTCAGACTGGGAGAGGACAAAACAGCACAAGGAGCCAAACAAGTGCGCTGTAGTGCTCACAAGGAACATGCTGATATGGAGGAGGATAACGGGATACAGCATAGTGATGGAGAGATGAGCTCATCAGTCTGCTGCTTCTCCCATTAAAGGCTGGGGGAGAGGTAAGGCCTGTAAGTGTCTTCTCCCGTGCCCGGGTCTCCTCACGTGCCAGTGCGATGTAAATCTCAGGACTGGCTGGACAGAGATACAAATCATCTATCAATTAAAACAGCTCCCTTATATGCATTTCATCTGTGTGTGTTTATCGGTTTGTCTGCACACCAGCTTTAAAAAGTGTCAAATTGCCAAAAATGATCCCGTGTACGTTTAATTTTAAATAGGATCGATTATTAGAGATCACAAATTAGATTTTTGTTTTTTTATTCCCCGCTCTAAGGTCATTACGTCCGTGACATCTGTGTGTACGGGCTGGGGGATCTGCAATGGCTGACCGACTCTCCGCATTTATACGCCAACAAATTCGACCCTCATCGATACCCCCTGGTCACGGACTGCTTGGAAAGGCAGTTCCGCCAAAAAGTTCTGAACGGAGCCGAAGTCCCCATAGAACAGGACTGGTATTTTCCAGACGAGTATACCTTAAAAACGGATCTGTGACGAGGGCGAAGAACATTTGCATGGAGTAACCAGAGAGCCGGCGCCCGTATTTTAATAAACGACATCATGCAAATGACGCCCGCTCCCCCGGAGAGCCCGGCGCTTTGCATGAGTTTCTGAAAGAGAACTCGATATGCCGACAGGAGATCCGACTCAAATTTGCTGCTGGAATGAAAATTATGGAAGAGCAGGAGACCAGGAGGTCATGTGACCGTGGATAAAAAGGCAAAAAAAAAAAAAAGATGTTTGCAGTGTTTTTTGGCTTCCTGTAAATTGTGTGATGTACTTAATGATGGTAATAGATGTGTTTGTTTTATTTGACTTTTGGACCTCCTTCATTTCTTAGGATGGCTGTCGCAGATCCTTGATTAATTTTATTGCTGCCTTAAGTTGTTCTTTATTTATTTTCCCCCATAGCAATAGTAAATGTTTTCCAAAGTCAGCTCCAAAAGATATATTACATAATATAATACATATTAGGGATGCAATGGAGTACCTGCGATTTTGCTTTCGGTACTCGCTGATACTGAGTACCGATACCGGTACTTCCGCTGGCAAGGAGACGGCTTCCCGGACAATCAGGAAGCTGGGCGGCGGGTAATGACATTCTGCACGGCTTCCTGATTGCTCGGGAAGCCGGCTCCATGTTGTTTGGCCAGAAAACCGCCTTCCCAGCCAAAAAGCATCACGCTTGCTTGCCGGCCAATCAGGAAGCCGGGAGGCGTGTCATTACTGGTCACCCAGCTTCCTGATTGCCCGGGAAGCCGGCTCCATGTTCCCCCTAAGGCACTGCTGGTCAGAGAAAAAGTTCGGGTATCGGAGCATTTGGCCGAGTAGGAATACTCGGTATCAGCACTGAAACTATTATCAGTATCCGTGCATCCCTAATACATATAAAAGAATATATTACGGTAGATGTAAACACTAACCGGATGACGTTTAGTTTGATAAAGAGCCGCTAATCATAAACAACTGCCAATTTTTCTAATAAAATGCTATTTTCACCCTATCTCAGTGCTGCTTATCTCCTCCAGCCTGTCTCAGCCACCACCTGTCTACATTCACTCGCTCCAGCGTCAGCTGCACATCATTGCTCTGGACCTGCTACCTAATGTTTAACAACGGTGCACTAGGCATGAACAATGTGCGTCAGCACAGCTACTTATAGTCTCTAATATATGACAACGCAGGTGTACATTTGGGTGTCACCCCGTCACAGGTAGTTCCTGAACAAGGAATCCACAGCGGATTATTTTAATGAAAGCTTCAGGTTTTAAAGAGACAAAACAATTTTAGAAATGACGTTTCTGTGAGATTTTAGTGATTGGGTTTAAATACTTGCTCCATAAAATGCACGATGTTGGAGCGGTTGTAATGTCTTTTAAGACCCGGCGATGCCAATTAGGAGCTTTATGCTTCAGGCGTAACATAGATCCTCCCCCCCCGGGGGTGCAAGGAGCCCTTTCGCTCCCAGAGGAAGTGCCGCTAATGATCTTACTGAACATAAATAAAGGATTAGTAACCAGAAACCTAGCGACGGCCCGGGGGGGGGGGGATCCAAACGTTTATGCCGTGACAAAACCGCGATCCTATCACCGTACAAACTGCGATCAAGCATTAAATGCATAATGTATGGGGAGACACGTGTTTACAAAACAATTCTTTATCCTGCATTTCCTGTCCTGTGCCATGAAGTGGATCCGTCTGTACTTTCAATGCTCAAAAAATAAAGACTTCAGTTCACTAGAATCTAGTGACAGGTCTATGGCACGATGCAGAGCTCATCACTAGTAAGGTGATTGTAGTCGTATTAGTACTACTGCAACAACGCAACGGAATACTGTCTGTGATACCTTTTTTTAATTTGCAACAGTCAAATTTGAGGGCCCAGCTTTCGGTGCCTACTCCCTTTTCCTAAAGTCCAAGCAGTACCGATACACAAAGGTTTAGCTTTTCTATTGATTCATAAAAGGGTTTAACCTTTGTGTTTTAGTATTGCTTAGACCAGGGGGTAGCCAAACTCTAGCCCTCCAGCTGTGGTGAAACTACAAATCCCATGATGCATCTCTCTCTCCGGGAGTCATGTCTGTGGCTGTGAGAATCTTGCAATGCCTCATGGAATTTGTAGTTCCACCACAGCTGGAGGGCCAGAGGTGGTTTGCTACCCCTGGCTTAGACCTTAGAAGAAAGGGGTAGGCCTTGAAAACTTGACCTGAAAATGTCACGGTTGGTGCAAATGAAAAAACAAAAACAAAACAGTATCACAGCCAGTACTCAGCAAATAGGCTGAATTCTTAAAATGAGAGGGGGGGGGAATCCCTGCAAGGAGCAATGACTGACAGTCACCACCCTCTGCAGGGAGAAGATTGTGAACCAAGCGATCAGCGGTATGCGATTGCTCAGTTCTCGATCAATAGAGCCGACGTGTGACAGCTTCAGCATCACACGCCGGCTCTAACTCTCACTTTTTTTTCCCACTCTCCCCATAATTCTCCTTTAGGGCTTGTTCACACAACGTCTGGATTGTGTCTGGACCAGAACCGTGTGCTCCTGCACCCAAAATGCATCCCAATGTATCCCTATGTGTTTTATGGGCTACAATTCTCACGTGCGCAGTCCGGACAGAGAAAATACTGCATGTCACATTTTGTCCGGTCACGCACCGAAAACGCACCGCAGCTAACATATTGACAGCCCCACTCCACTTTTGTAACTGGAACGCGGTAAAACGCGGCAAAAACGCACTGCACACATAACACCGCGTCTGCAGATCTGGACCAGAAAATGGTGTGAACAAGCCCTAAATGGTGCATCTCCAGTCATTACCCAAATTAACCCCCAAGCCCCCCTCTCCCCCTCAACAGTCACGGCATTAATTTCATCTCTATTACCTCGTTCCTGTGTTGAGACACAGATTTGATTATTCCCTGTGACTTCATCATCAGCAGGTTTTAAAGTGTTTGCAAGGGCAGCTGCTGGGAGCACAATCCCTGAAAATAAAAGCATACCCCCAGAACTACATCTCCCCTACACATAGTATAAGCAGGCAACTGAAAGTCAAAGCACCAGCATTGTTTTGCTGGGAAGGAAATCAATGTAGGGATGGGGATAGGTGGAGTTCAGCAGTACAATGTCAGGCTTCATGAAGGGGTGGAGCAAGCATTGTAGTAAAATGTCTGTGATAACCAAAGCAACCAATTCCCAGATGTCAACATCTACAGCAAGAAAAAAAAAAAAAAACAATTGGTTTCTATGGGTAACAAATTTTCCTATCATCCTCAAAGACGTAAAGGAAGGTCCTCCACCCTTGCTAAAAGCAATGGAAATTGTGTCCCCATCCACCTATCCCCATCATGAAGCCTGACATTGGACTGCAGCAGTATTTTCATTCACTGACCCTTGTGACTAGATGACGTGGCTGTGCAGCCGGAACCACGCACAGCCGCGCTGATTTAAAAACCAGACCGAACTGAGGAATAAGAAGCACCCTGCAATTCTGGTGAGGGGTAAGTGGTAGGGATGCACAGATAACGGTATTTTGGTACCGAGTATCGCTAATCTTTTTTCGGTACTCGCCGCTACCAATTACCGGAAGTCCCATTCAGGAAGCCAGGTGGCGTGTAATGACTCGCCACCTGGCTTCCTGATTAGCCGGGAAGCGTGTAAAAACTCGCCACCCGGCTTCCCGTCCCCTCTCACCTCGGCATGTCCAGCCTGTTCCCCCCGGGGGCCTCTCCAGCCAGGAGCGGCCTTCCTCCGGTACCCGGCCGGAGCCGTCTTGCTGGCCAATCATGGAAGCTGGACGCCGTGTAAAGACGCGGCACCCTGCTTTCTGATTGGCCGGCTTCATGCTCTCTCATCACAAGTGACGAGCATGGAGCCGCTTCCCGGCCAATTCATTACACGGCGCCATGCTTTCTGATTGGCAGGGAGGCCGGCTCCATGCTCCCTCGCCATGAGATGACAAGGGAGCATGAAGCCGGTTTCCCGGCCATTCAGAATGCCGGGCGCCGCGTCATTACACGCTGCCCGGCTTCCTGATTGGCCGGGAAGTCGGCTCAATGCTGTCTCATCACAATTGACGAGAGAGCATGGAGCCGCTTCCCGGCCAATCAGGAAGCCGGGCAGCGTGTAATGACGCGCTGCCTGACGTCCTGATACAGGAAGTATCGGGGAAGGGATCGGAGCATTTGGGCGAGTACGAGTACTCAATGAAATACTCGGTATCGGCACCAATATCGATACTAGTATCGGTGCATCCCTAGTATTCGGTATCGGTGCAATCTCTAGTAAATGGCGTTTTTCGGGATAGTTTATGCTACCATGTTTTAGGTTACACCCCACATAACATTAAACATGGTCCAGAAGGTGGACTGTGCCTCTATTGGTAGAAAACAGGATAAAAGTATCTTCTAATCAGGTTTATTAGTTTGGTGTATCAGCAGAGAGAGTGTCTGAATAAAAACCATTCTGCCTACCTCTCAAATCTCCTTCACAAGGATTAAATAGGTTAGAAAGTCAAATGACTTCCTCCGCCATGGGACAAAGCCTCACTATGACGGCTGCTAGAAATGCACAGCCGTCTTTGCGGTCAAGGAATTGCGACGCCGGTCCCTTACCTTGTGACAGACATCGGTCTTGATCTCCTTCAGGGCCCGCTCGGAGAACACACAGCCGCACTGTCTCAGCACACAAAACCTGCAGAGGAACAAAGACAATGCAGTGTCTAATGGAAGCCAAGTTCCTGTTTAATTAACACTCAACAAACAAAACCATTTTGCTACAATTTACACAGATGACACATCCTCCCTACTTATAAGGATTATATAATATCAGCTGGAAGCAGAAGAATGGCGCCAATAGCGGCTAGTTATCACATATGTCTTATTATTTATTACCGGTATTAATCTGGCGCCAAATATTTACATCACTTTACATTGTACTTTCACTTCAGTCGCTGCGCTTAAGGAACTTACAGTCTAATGTCCTTGTGTCACATACATACTTAGGCAGTAGCTATAACCTAGCAGCAAATCTTCAGAGTAGAGGAAGAAATCCCCAAATTCCATGCAGAGTGTCTTGGCTGGAAACTGAGCCAAGGACCCCTGTGGAGCATAGCAACCATGCTGACCAGCCAGCCACTGTGCTGCCCATGTGATGGTAATCACATATATCTTAGTGCAGTGTACGGGGAGTTACAAGGACACTGGATTTCCAGGATTTTTTGTACTTGAAAATGTTCTTAGCATTACATCGAAGGACTGGTAAGCTGCCACATGTGACATCTTTAGTATTTTGGGTTAAGACATCCTCTAAAGCAGACCAAGGATTAATTCAGTGGTGGGCAATGCCGGCTCTCCAGCTGTTGTGGAACTACGAGTCCCATGAAGCATTGCAAGACTGACAGTTACAGGCTTGACTCCCAGAGGCATGCTGGGATTTCTAGTGAAAGCACAGAGCTGGAGGGCAGGAGTTGCCCACGACTGGCTTAAAAGAGGACTATGGGGTAACCTTTTTATCCCAGAGTTCTCTTAAGGGTTATGGGAGGACATGTTCTAATGTCCTCCCGTGACCCAAAGCTCAGTATATAGCTCGCTATATACAGAGAGCGCCGCAGCCGGGACGGATCCCCGACAATACTGTCGAGATCCACACAGATGGCTGATTGACAGCAGGCTCTACCTATCTAGAGGCAGAGCCAGATGTGCCCGCCCCTGTCAGTTCCTCCAGTCAGCGCTGGAGGATCGGAGAGGGGAGGATCCATGCGGGCAGCGGTGACTGGCAGTCACTGCTCTCTGCAGGGACAGGATCGAGAAGTGAGCGAGCGACGGTATGTGTTCACTCACTTTCCGATCTATAGAGCCGACCTGTGAAAGTGTCATTGTCACACGTCAGCTCTTACTATGAGGATGAGTGGAAAATACTCACCTCATAGTTCTCCTTCAATTGATAAGCAATTCGCCAACACAATCCATTGTCTCGGCCACCCTAAGCTGGTGCAAGCTGTAATCTGATTGGCCGTTTAGTCCTAGCCACTAATGCCATTTATAAAATATTATTACTAAGGCAAAAATACATTTTAGTAGGTACCTGTGTTTGCCGTTCATTTCCAGTCCAACAACTGGGCAGATAAACTGTGCACACTGATCATCGTATTTGTCTCCTTTGGTGTTGCCCTTGTTCCCGGTCCATACTGGATTGTCACTCAGATTCAATTCGATGATGTTCTGGGAAACAACAGACACTAGTAAAGTGAAGCTGAATTGCATTTTACATTTATAAAAGTGAAAGTTTTGCTGACGAGAAGACATTACAAGCTGTCCGATTAATTACCTTTATTAGCTAGCAAATCTACATCTGTGCCCTTCTCTGATTTAGAAGGGCTTTGTTATTAGCTCCTAACGCTCTCTGAATGTATGGCTCTGCCAAGTGTCATCCCATCCTTGTCCACGAGCACCTTTCCACTACTCAGTGTTAAACAGATTAGAGTAGCTGCCAAGTTTGCTGTTTTGGATTTGGTGCAGACACACACTGGAAGCCTTCGTCTGCCTTATGGGAGGTGAGGTCTGGGCTTCTGGTACCTTAAAGGCGGAAAGGGCTACCTTCAGGTTAGCCTGCCCTCTGTTTGCACATTGCTATACATGTCCCATACTTGGGGACTCAGATCGTTTTGGAGCCTGATTTCTACTGTAGATACATTATATTAAGGGTATGTTTGCCTGAAATACCATTTGAAAGTATCTGTATTCCCTCCCTGCTCATTAGTACATATCCTTCAAGTTATTGAGATGACAAGTGTACACAAATACAATACCAGGTAAGAGGGGTGTCAGTACCTTGATGCTCTTGATGTGAGCTGCAGTATCAGCATGAGGCTTGTCTGGAGATTTGTCCAGCAGGAATTCAATGATGGCATCTTTATTGTACAGCCTGTATGAGGACAAACAGATATGAGATAAATAACAGGGGTGAAAACCACCAATCACAGGCAGCCTCAATTAAAAAGCTGAAGATTAAACTGCTTGTATTTTTCCTTCCCTGGTTCCCCACCCCCTCCTCAGTATAGTAACGCAATGTTTAAATAAAACCTGTTTTCATTAAATATCTTATTTTAGAACCAGTGATATCATCTTCTCCATGTGCTTCTCTATGCAATGCAGACAGATCACAGCTGGTGGGAGGGGTCAGCAGGGTGCTGTATATAGTCTCCTGAAAACAACACAGCACCCTGAATCAGTACTGCTCTCATGAGCCCTCATGCAAGCAGTGGGCAGGCTCATGAATGTAGTTATGTAAATATCAAAGTGCCTTATTGGATGGATGTCAGTCTGGAGGAGTGGGCAGTTCTAGGCAGGCTGTATTTGCATGCAGACCACCCTAAGTAAATGCCCACCTGTGACACTGAGCCTCCATGATTAAAAGAACAGTCAGGCTAAGAATGAAAGTGGGAATATGATGCTGAATGTCATATATCCAGGAAATGAGGCGGGCTCTATCTGACTTGCTGCATCGTGAGAAGTTCCCAGGGTGCAGAGAGATCAGAGGAAGCCATTTCAGTCCAGAAGGAGCCGCTACAACTGTGCCAGACTGATGGGGAGGCCGGGGTTCAGGTAGAAGAGCGAAGGGAAGGCCGGGGTTCAGGTAGAAGAGCGAAGGGAAGGCCGGGGTTCAGGTAGAAGAGCGAAGGGAAGGCCGGGGTTCAGGTAGAAGAGCGAAGGGAAGGCCGGGGTTCAGGTAGAAGAGCGAAGGGAAGGCCGGGGTTCAGGTAGAAGAGCGAAGGGAAGGCCGGGGTTCAGGTAGAAGAGCGAAGGGAAGGCCGGGGTTCAGGTAGAAGAGCGAAGGGAAGGCCGGGGTTCAGGTAGAAGAGCGAAGGGAAGGCCGGGGTTCAGGTAGAAGAGCGAAGGGAAGGCCGGGGTTCAGGTAGAAGAGCGAAGGGAAGGCCGGGGTTCAGATAGAAGAGCGAAGGGAAGGCCGGGGTTCAGATAGAAGAGCGAAGGGAAGGCCGGGGTTCAGATAGAAGAGCGAAGGGAAGGCCGGGGTTCAGATAGAAGACCGAAGGGAAGGCCGGGGTTCAGATAGAAGACCGAAGGGAAGGCCGGAGGTCAGATATAGGACCGAAGGGAAGGATGGAGGTCAGATATAAGACCGAAGGGAAGGATGGAGGTCAGATATAAGACTGAAGGGGAGGCCGGAGGTCAGATATAAGACTGAAGGGACGGACGGAGGTCAGATAGAAGACTGAAGGAAGGCCGGGGTTCAGATAGAAGACTGAAGGGAAGGCCGGGGTTCAGATAGAAGACTGAAGGGAAGGCCGGGGTTCAGATAGAAGACTGAAGGGAAGGCCGGGGTTCAGATAGAAGACTGAAGGGAAGGCCGGGGTTCAGCTTTAGGTCACCAGTGGGAAAACTGGTGCAGAATTTAGGGACCCGTCAGTCCATTCTAGAAGCCAAAACATCTGCTTCTATGAACCAAAATATTAAAGAAAAAAAAATTGGGAGAAAAGTGAAATTGTTTGGTTACCCGACTCGTCCAGGTTGTCCATACCCAAGCAAAGTCTGCAGCATTGGCTGGCTGCTATGTGCATCTGTCTGGTCTACCATCAGCCTCCTGCCTGTTCTTACACACATAACAGGACACAATGATGACATCAGATGGGACATACCTGCCCAGTTCACAGGACACAATGGGCTTTTTCAGTTTCTCCTGGCTCAGTGTGCAGTAATACCAGCGGGCCACCAGCTCAGCGTTCTTGTCAACCTGAAAAAACAGAAGAACAACGAGATATGAAAGTGCTGATATATATGAACACCGAACCAGAAAGTCAAACATTTTCAACCTGCTTATTACATCTTTCTACTACTTCAGCCTTTCTCAACCAGAGCTTTCTTACCCCCAATGTAAGGAGCATTCTTCCCACTGACCACCAATGTAAGGAGCATTCTTCCCACCGATCGCCCTATGTAAGGAGCATTCTTCCCACCGACCACCAATGTAAGGAGCATTCTTCCCACCGAGCACCAATGTAAGGAGCATTCTTCCCACTGACCCCCTATGTAAGGAGCATTCTTCCCACCGACCACCAATGTAAGGAGCATTCTTCCCACCGATCGCCCTATGTAAGGAGCATTCTTCCCACCGACCACCAACGTAAGGAGCATTCTTCCCACCGAGCACCAATGTAAGGAGCTTTCTTCCCACCGACCCCCCCAATGTAAGGAGCATTCTTCCCACCGATCCCCCTATGTAAGGAGCATTCTCCCCACCGAGCACCAATGTAAGGAGCGTTCTTCCCACCGACCCCCAATGTAAGGAGCGTTCTTCCCACCGAGCACCAATGTAAGGAGCGTTCTTCCCACCGACCCCCAATGTAAGGAGCGTTCTTCCCACCGAGCACCAATGTAAGGAGCGTTCTTCCCACTGACCACCAATGTAAGGAGTATTCTTCCCACTGACCCACAATGTAATGGACATTCTTCTCACTGACCCACAATGTAATGGACATTCTTCTCACTGACCCCCAATGTAAGGAGCATTCTTCCCACCGAGCACCAATGTAAGGAGCATTCTTCCCACTGACCCCCAATGTAAGGAGCATTCTTCCCACTGACCCCCAATGTAAGGAGCATTCTTCCCACCGAGCACCAATGTAAGGAGCATTCTTCTCACTGACCACCAATGTAAGGGACATTCTTCTCACTGACCGCCAATGTAATGGACATTCTTCTCACTGACCGCCAATCTAAGGAGCATTCTTCCCACTGACCACCACTGTAAGGAGCATTCTTCCCACTGACCCCCAATGTAAGGGACATTCTTCCCACTGACCCCCAATGTAAGGAGCATTCTTCCCACTGACCCCCAATGTAAGGGACATTCTTCCCACTGACCCCCAATGTAAGGAGCATTCTTCCCACTGACCACCAATGTAAGGAGCATTCTTCCCACTGACCACCAATGTAAGGAGCATTCTTCCCACTGACCACCAATGTAAGGAGCATTCTTCCCACTGACCACCAATGTAAGGAGCATTCTTCCCACTGACCACCAATGTAAGGAGCATTCTTCCCACTGACCACCAATGTAAGGAGCATTCTTCCCACTGACCACCAATGTAAGGAGCATTCTTCCCACTGACCACCAATGTAAGGAGCATTCTTCCCACTGACCACCAATGTAAGGAGCATTCTTCCCACTGACCACCAATGTAAGGAGCATTCTTCCCACTGACCACCAATGTAAGGAGCATTCTTCCCACTGACCACCAATGTAAGGAGCGTTCTTCCCACTGACCACCAATGTAAGGAGCATTCTTCCCACTGACCACCAATGTAAGGAGCATTCTTCCCAATGACCACCAATGTAAGGGACATTCTTCTCACTGACCGCCAATGTAATGGACATTCTTCTCACTGACCGCCAATCTAAGGAGCATTCTTCCCACTGACCACCACTGTAAGGAGCATTCTTCCCACTGACCCCCAATGTAAGGGACATTCTTCCCACTGACCCCCAATGTAAGGAGCATTCTTCCCACTGACCACCAATGTAAGGGACATTAGTCCTCCTCGGGCTGCATTAGTACATAGTGACATGCTAGGACTGGTAGTCCTCCTCTGGCAGTATTAGTACACAGCATTGGATGGAAGGACGGTGAAACCTCACAGGGGGCCTCTGGCAGGCCATTCTCGGACTTATAGTCCTCCTCCAGTAGTATCAGTACATAGCACTACGTGACAGGAGATACCAGGAATTGCAGTCCTCCTCAGGCTGTATTAGTGCATAGTACTGGATGACATGACATTCTGGCACTTGTAGTCCCCCTCTGATATTAGTGCACAGTAATAAGTGGAGGAGCATGCTAGGACATGAAGTCCTCCTCTGACTACTCTGTACTTCATACAGGCCATGGGGGCCAGGGGTCTTAGATACTGGCACTTGTAGTCCCTCCCTGACTATAAAAATACATGGTGCTGGGTGCCAGGAAGCTCATTACCCCATACAGCCCATAGGGAGGCTATGACAGGACATACTGGGACTTGTAATCTTCTTTAGACCATACAAGAACATAGTATTGAGTGCCAAGGGGCTCATTAAGCCATATAGCCCATAGGGGGGCTCTGACAGGACATACTGGGACTTGTAATCTTCTTTAGACCATACAAGAACATAGTATTGAGTGCCAAGGGGCTCATTAAGCCATACAGCCCATAGGCGGGCTCTGACAGGACATACTGGGACTTGTAGTCTTCCTCAGACCATACAAGAACATAGTATTGAGTGCTAGGGGGCTCATTAAGCCATACAGCCCATAGGCGGGCTCTGGCAGGACATACTGGGACTTGTAGTCTTCCTCAGACCATACAAGAACATAGTATTGAGTGCTAGGGGGCTCATTAAGCCATACAGCCCATAGGGGGGCTCTGACAGGACATACTGGGACTTGTAGGTCTCCTCAGACCATACAAGAACATAGTATTGAGTGCTAGGGGGCTCATTAAGCCATACAACCCGTAGGGAGGGCTCTGACAGGACATACTGGGACTTGTAGTCTTCCTCAGACCATACAAGTACATTGAATTGGGTGACAGAGGGCCCATTAACCCATACAAAGAATAGGGGGGTTCTGACAGGATATACTGGGACTTATAGTCCCTCAGTAGCTTCCCCTCACCTTTTCCACCTTCTTGGGTCCCTTCACCAACTCATGGCGCTTAGGAATGGTTCCCCCGTCGCATCCCATGTCTCTAAACTCTCTCAGACAACAACACACCACTTCCGCTTCCGGGGTCAGCTGACCAGTCGACACACATACGTCACGCACTTCAGTGGGCGCTGCGTCTCATTCGAAAGCCATGTTACCACAGCTCCGCACCGCCACGCTGCTCCATCAGCACCACCCAGCGTCGTGACGTCTTTCCAGCGGCCATCTTAGCACACCTCGTCGTATCCGCCATCTTTCTGCACCCAACGCCCTGAAATCTTCACAGAGGCCACCATGTTCCTTGGTGCTGATGCAGAGTATGCGTCAGGAGTGACTGAGGGGATATGCAACCCTGGAATGGATGCTGGGAGGTCAACAGGAAGCTGTGACTGGTTATTAATGAGCCATAGCTGGCACTGGTTAGGTGAGGGATGCTGGAGCTTTATTAATAAGACGATTTGTGGTGAATAAAAAGCGGTGACCTGGCCTGGTATCTACATAGCGGCCGGATACGTAATGACACAATGCTCTTATACTGGTGACAACTAAGAGGAGATTTCCTGTATTTTATAAAGATTTCCTGACACTTCCTGTTGTGTCTACAGAACAGGAAGTGAAGGTAATTCTCCCAAGTGGGACAAAGCTAGCTAAAAAAATATATGTCACCTTTTCCCAACTCTCAACTTTCCCCTCCTGTAATAAAGACCGGTCACTGCTGCTCTCTTTCCTTGTGCAGGGTGACTGGTCTTGTCTCCGCCCCCTCCTGTAATAAAGACCGGTCACTGCTGCTCTTTTTCCTTGTGCGGTCACTGGTCTTGTCTCCGCCCCCTCCTGTAATAAAGACCGGTCACTGCTGCTCTCTCTTCTTGTGCGGTCACTGGTCTTGTCTCCGCCCCCTCCTGTAATAAAGACCGGTCACTGCTGCTCTCTCTTCTTGTGCAGGGTGACTGATCTTGTCTCCGCCCCCTCCTGTAATAAAGACCGGTCAGTGCAGCTCTCTCTCCTTGTGCAGGGTGACTAGTCTTGTCTCCGCCCCTCCTGTATTTTTCTTCAAGCAGCCTGTAGTGGGTGGGGCCTGTAAGGCCCCTCCCACAGCTCTGCTGTCCGCACAGGCTATGTACAGCACAGTGATGATGTCACTGGTTCCTTTACAAGGTAATAGCTGTGTTTGGGAAGGCACATACAATAGATTTATAGCCATTGCTGCTATTGAGAAATGTTTTGAGTCTTTATGGCTTTTCACTTTACATGGATGATGATGTGTGACATGGAGCCGGGTGGTCATTGCCGCTCTCACTTGTAGGTCCTCCTCATCGCCTGAAGAGCGGCGGTTTGATGAGCGATCGCCGACCTCAGAAGAGGACGCTCAACAGACTGACCGCCATCTACCAAGAGAGTGTCAGAGATCTCAGAAGACTCTTCCATCTAAAGGTCAGTCCAACCAAAACTACTGGTGGAACTACAAATCCCATCATATCTCTGCCTCTGGCAATCATGCCGTCCCCTACCTCTGGGATCAACCAAAGTATTTACAATTGGAATTCTATAAATACAGTATATAGATAATGGCTCCGGATGAAAGGATTTTGAACGCTGTATATGTGTCAGACAAAACCCCTTCCCCCCGCACACTTTCCTCTCTCTCCTCCTCTCTCTGCCCC